TATTATTTGAGGGTGTCTATAAATACCGTTTGGCCTGCTCTAGGTCACTCTCTTAGCCATTTGCATTGACATAGCAACCTTATGAGCCTAGCCAAAGCCCTCCCACTCATCTCCATCATTGATTCATCACCTTTTATGAGATTGGGTGAGAATCCAAGTGCATTGCTTGAGTGATTGCATCTAGAGGCACTTGGTGATCGTGTTTCGCTGCGGGATTCACTTGTTACTCTTGGTGGTTGCCGCCACCTAGATAGCTTGGAGTAGCGAGGATCATCGAGTGGAGGTCGGTGATTGTCTCCGGCTCCGATCGCGGTGATTGTGAGGCGTCTTGTACCTTTCCCGGCGGAGCGTTGAAAGGTAACTCTAGTGGAGTTCTCATGTACCTGACTTGTGGGTAGGTTCTTATAGTGTCCAATTGTGTGGACGTGGTTCGTGCAACATCTCTTAGCCGCTGAACCACCAAGTGTTGGTTGACACAACGGGCACTAGCGTGCCGACAAGCATGTGAACCTCGGGAGAAATATTAGTTGTCTCTTGCCCGTTGGTATTCTCCTAGTGATTGATTTAGTATTCATCTTGTGATTGGTTCACTCCTCTACACGGCGGTATAATTACTTTACTTACTCATTTACATACCCTCAAACTAGTTATAGTAAGCTCTTTAATGTAGCTAAAATTGAGAGCTTGCTTTGTAGTTTAAGTTCATCTAGTGGAGCTCTTTAGTGTAGTAAGTGTGAGAGCTCTTAGTGAGTAGTGACTTAGTAAATTGTGTGTCTAGTGATCATAGTAACTAGAATTGTTGGATAGGTGGCTTGCAACCCTTGTAGAGCTAGAGCAAGTTTGCTTTTCGCTATTTGTCATACTAATCAAATTACTCTAGTTGGTTTCTAGTTTTTTAATAAGCTACTCACCCCCCTCTAGCCATATTAGGACCTTTCACGTGGGCTACGCCGATCGCGCCAACCGCGTCCCGCCAAGGCACGCCCTTGCCAAGTCGCTGGCTGCCCCTCCCCCACCGCTCCCTCGCTCTCTCTCTGTTCTCTCTCTCTGCTGCCGCCGTCGAGCCGTGCCATTTAATTCATCAGGGAGAGATCATCTCAAGTTGTTTCATCGCATTGTTGGCTCCGTCACACAGCTGCCTAGCTACCTGTCCCTACCCCGCCTTGAATGGCGCCCGGTCGAGCTCCAATTTTGGAGTTTCCCCGCCGCCGTGCCGATAAGGCCACGTTCGGCCGTGGGTATGGGTAGCTCTCCCATCGTCCCTCTCGATCCAATTCACCTGCACCACTAGCATCGCCTTGACTCCCTCTCCACCTTGCGTGCCTTAGTCGAACCGCTACCGCCTCCCCTTCATCGCTGACACGACCGTGCCGCTGCGGTGCGCCGTCGCACGGCTCGGCCGCACGTGGCTAGCCTTCCTCCGTCATCTTCCGCCCCAACTGTCACCTCGGCTTGGTTCATGGTAGCCTCCTGATGCTCACACGCTAATCAATTAGACCTATAGCTACCCTAGCCCACTGGAATAGTGGCACCGCTGTCATAGATGGCCGCGCGCTGCTGTAGCCTTCCCCAGCCAGTCATGTCACCCTGCACCGCCTTTAAACATAGCCGCTCAGGTTAGAGATAGTGATCAACCCGTTAGGTGAGCCCACGTAGGTCCTAGGTGGCCGACATAGGCGCTCAGTGTCGCCGCTCGCCGCGCCGCCGTGCATTGAGTCGTTGGGTGTGCGCGCGAGTGAATTTGGAAAAGTCTAGGGGTTTAATTGAGAAGTTATGAGAGAGAGGGAAATAGTGTTAGTACTTAGTTATAATTCGAGAGAAGTGCGATGTCTATTTTGCAAAAACATCAGCGCGCGTGGGGTTTCCCCGTCGCGAGCCATCTCCGCATGGGCCACAACGCGGGCCGCCGCGCTCTCGCGCGCGCGCTGTGTCACGTGGGCCACGCGTGTGGGCCACGTGGGAGAATTCATTTTTCTTTTTCACAAGGAATTAGAAATAGTTTTCTAATATAATTTTTGAGCTAATCTTTGATAAATCATATAAAATCATGTAGGTGTACAAAAATCGTGAAACAAATTTTGTTAAGTTCCTAAAATTGTGCTCTATTTGTTAGTGTACTTAGTTCATATATATACATGTTGATACCAGGAGCTATTAAATCATTTGAAAATATTTAATATTGGTAGGAGAATTATTGTAGGAATTTTTGTGGTAAATTGGTGATAGCTTTAGCCCTAAAAATTTATAGCAGCATCGTGGTATTATTATGTGCTCACTGTAATTTTTGTAGCTTTAGAATAGACTAAACATAAGGATAGTTAAATGCTCTTTGTTTCAAATATATATTAAATCATTAGTAGAAATAAAGATATATCCTTCATTTGTAAAGCTAGGTGTTTGTTAGTTGAACCCAACACTTTGCTTGGTAAAAATGATAGTTAGCTTAGTGCCTTAGTCATTAGAGCTAGCTTAGTAGCTTAGTATGCGTATTCTTATTTTAAGAGTTGCTGTTGCATAAATGCTAAGTGTTGCATCGTCATGGCATGCATGTAGAGAATGAGTTGGTGGAGTTCATGACCACCGAAGAGCAGGAGTACGAGGAGGAGGTCCTTGTATAGGAGGAAGGCTCGGAGCCACCGACGACTGACATAGCTGACAATCCGCCTGCCTAAGGTAAGCCTCGGTGCATAACCCTTATTTTGAATAATCACTGGATATATATATGTGATGTGCATTTATGTTATAGGATTTATATTGAAACTACATGCATAGATACACCTACCTATGAATCCTACTAGTATAGGTCGAGTAGCTGCTATGCTTAGGCTATCAGTAGCGTGAGTAACCTGCCATTACTCATAATAGGTGATTATTATTATTACTCTCATGATAAAATGGTGAAAGGAAATGGAGACCGGACAGAGATATGATACGGGTATTGATGAGTGTAATAGGTTGTGTCCCATAGCCAATGGGGTATAGCTTGGTTACATTGTTTTCCCTGTCTGTGTCGGTTAAGGATCGTCCGTTGCTGTGGATGGTAGTTAGGTCACAGACTTATTATCCTGAGCACATACTTGCTTATGAGAGTGGAAAGGCTCGTTGCTATCTTGTCGTGGGTTCCGCCTCTTTCTGGACCGACTGATTAGAGACGGGGATGGTGGAGGTCTAAGCACCACACTGAGTTCGGGACTCAGGAGTGGGGGCTTGGAGTCCAAGTTTGGACGGGGACCTAGACCCCTTGACAGAAGAGTGGTGGGTTGGTCTTGCTTGTGCCTGGGGTACAAGCGGGGCGTGTGTTTCGAGGTACCCAGCTGGGATACATTGGTTTACGAATTGCCGTGTGATACGGTACGACTTGGCTATGGTCTAGCACCGTAGTAAGAACTAAAAGATGAAAAGGGATAAATGGATCTGATTGCTCAACTCTTACTTAAAAGTAGAACATGTGCTTACATAGAATGGTTAGCTAATGAACTAATCATGACTACTAATAAAAACACATACATAAGGATTTACTACTAGTAATGCTTTTCAAAAAAGGAAACCCAACAAACCATAAAGCTTATCAAATCCTTTGGAGTCAGAAAATTATTCTCACTAGTCGGGTAAGTCTTGCGAGTACATTGTGTACTTAAGGTTTATTTACCTCTGTTGCAGGTGCAGCTTGAGGAGTGGCTGTTGTGTGGAGGATTCTTCTGATGGACACAGACGGATCCTTGTATCTTATCGTTAGATGTTTATTTCAATTCCGCTTTTTAAATTTCGCACTCTGAACTTAGTATTGTAATAATGTATTTTCGAGAACTCTTGTTATATGAAATGGACTAAGTATTGTAAACTCATTCTCATTATTGGATTCTGAAAGAAAAACGTGGATTGTTCGAGTTCTCCCTTAGGGTGTGCTCGACGAAACTGTCTGATGTAGCTAACTTTTGGAGTGCTTAGTATCTAGCGGAAGACGAACGCCTCTGAAGGTGTGTTATTTCGAACGGTTCTGCCACAGGTGATATCAGAGCCAATTTAGATTCTTAGGTTAAAACTAAAGGGCATCTGTCTCATTCTGAGTTGACTGAGATATTGTATTTTTGTATGTATTGTTACTTTTATAACCACTGAATCTCCATCCATCCATATCTGCTCCTTCCTTCAATTGCAAACTACTTCCCAACTGTCTCATGTCTCGTCCTCTTTCACTTAATCGCCAACCTGCCACGATGCACACCCTGGAAGTGTAGCACGTCCTGCCACATTGATGGAGCAGCGAGGTCTAGCCCTTGTTTAGTTATATTTCCCGTCGAACGCTTTAATTTCACACCCTTGCTCCAGTGACAGGGCTTACGGTTTGGCATTTTTAATTTAAAGATAATACATAGACATTTACTACCCCTTTGTTACAAATTTTGTCATTTTAACTTTTTAAGATACATAGTTGTCTTTACTGTATATGTAGACTTGTTTGGTTTATAAGCAGTACATTTTCAGCCAATAAATCAGCCAGCAGTACTTTCAGCTATGGCTTATCAACCAAGCGAACAGGACAAACGTATCTTGATGCATATAAAAACTATATTTCTATAAAAGTCAAAATAACTTATAATTTAGAATAGATAGAGTAACATCTAAGTCACATATCACCGCATATTAGCAAGGGACTGGTTTCAATGTTTGGCATTTGAAGATAAGACAGAGACAATACTGTTTAACGGCTGATTCAAATTGATTCCTAGCAATGTTTCGCCTTTGAAAGGCCTAGAAACATTTGAGGCCTCGGACTGTGACATTATTTCGTGGTATTATTCTACATAAAAAACAATTTTAGGTAAACAGATTATGACAAAATGGATATAGAACAGATTATGACAAAAATGTTTAAGTCTGCAGATCTTTTACAATGTTTAAGTCTGCAGATCTTTTACAACGGTTTGAATGGCTTCCTATCGTCTCTCGTCGCCTCCGTAGCCATTTCTGTTGATTTTATTCATCAAAGGGCAATACGGTCATTGAACCACCCCAACCCCCACGCGAGCGGTTAGCCCCCACCGCCGCCGCGAGTCCGCGACGCGACCCCCAAGGCCCAAACGCGACGCGAGGATGCCCTTGCCCCGCCCTCGCCCTGGCTGCCGCCGCCGCTCTGCTCTCTCGCCCTCGCCCTCGCCCTCGCCCTCGTACGGCGCCGCCACCGCCTCCGCCCTGCCCTCGCCCTGGCTCGTCCCTGCGGGCACCCTGCCCTCGCCGTCGCTCGTCACAGCGGGCGCCCTGCCCTCGCCCCCGCCGCTGCCGTACGGACTCTCGGGCCATGCTTTCATGCCGCGCTCGAGTTCGCCCGTCGTGATGATTACTCCCGTGGAGAGGCTCTGCATCATCTCCGAAGAGGCTGTACGCTCTGCTCCCTTTGCTTCTCTTTTTTCTTTTCCCCATTTCTTTGAGTCTGGGATTTTTTAGTATACTCATCTCCCTTACTGCTAAACCTTCCACTGGTAGGACCAGTGCCGGCAATGCTTCGTGAGCTTGGATTCCTTGTTCTATTATTCTTCGAACTCTGATAGGATTACTATCTACTTCAGATTGCATATATGTCTGGTCAAGTAGAGACTGCGATAGGCAGGGGAAACAACCTTTCAACTGGACTGAAAAGAAGCAATTTGGAGAGTCATTGTTAATCTGCAGTTTTATAGTGAAATTTAATCGGTGAGGTATTAGTGCCAAAATCATTTGTACTCTCCAGGATTAATAAAGAAGTAATTGAATTACTGATATGTGATCTGTCCTTGTAGTTTAGCTTATCTGCCATTATCTGCTTGTCCTTTTGTTGTCAGGAAGTTCAGGAATGAAGAACCATGTATATTTACTTACGCAAGTTTTGAATTTAAGGTTTTATATGAGACCTTTTAAGCTTGGAAATTGTGAGTGATTTGGTGGGACCAATTTTGTCTTAACGATTTGGTGTCTGCAATTCATTCTGGTGGATCATGACTGTAGGCCATAGACCATAGACAGGTGTCTGTAATCTGGTTTCCAGTGAGGAAACTACTTTTGGGTCGAGTAGTTTTGTGCTGAACTATGATGTTTTCTTGTAGTTGTGCTCAGGGAGGTAAATGTGTTTGGGAGCGCTTGCATTCTGGATGAGAACGGTAAGTGGACATTGTGCCAAATTACTCATGTTTGATCGATGTTGTGTTTGTATGCATATGTATTGGATGGCAATTCTAAGCTACAACTTCGTTTGGAGAAGCATGAATCTTCAGTGAATGCTGTGGAATTAAATCATATATGTTGTGCTTTCATGTTCAAAGTTTGCACCAAGTACAATACTGATAATTCTCTTCAATGATCTATGGCCATAGGCCAAACTGTTAGAAGTATCAGGAGAAAAAAATGGTTGGACTAAGGAGAAAGCTGCTGAAAGGATATGGTGGTGACGTTCAGGTTTATCTGCTAGTCTTGCCCTGTACAGCATTGTCAGTTTTGTTCTTCACTGCATAATCAGTAATTTAGCCTGACTGCACGGCACCTGATAGCTTGTTGAGATGGCCGCTGCACCGACTGCACTGCACCTGATAACTTGTTGCAGCAACTCGTGGTCTCTTTCTCTCCGGAGAAAAAAGCAGAATAATGAACAAACGAAAGAGAGTATTGAATACTGAAGCAATAAAAAAGTACCGAATCATCATCAGAACTGTTGATTTCTGACTTTCTGTAGAACTGTAAACTAGAGAAGCTAAGGAAGCGCCATCTCGTTTTTGATAGTCGTAGAGTATTACCACTGAAATGTGGAGGGTCAGAAGCAGAGTTTGCATTGCATGGTTGTTGTGCTCGAACCTAGCTTAAGAGAAACGGAGGGATATTATGATTTGGATCTGAGTAGCATTCATATGATTTTTTGTAAGACGCCGGAGTAAAGTTGATCTCCACTATGTAAAAAAATGTAATATCCACCCGCGACACCTACATACGCCAGACGAACGCTTGTTTGTAATATGAGTTCACAGACGCGTGTCACCGGTCCAACGGGGTCAAAACGTGTCTGTAATAATAAGCTCAGTAGACTATATGTACTATTGAAGAATACTAATGCTACTTCCTCGGTCCTAAAGTATAGTCATTTCAACTTTTTTGAGAGTCAAATCATCTCAAGTTTGACTAAATTTATATAATAAAATAATATTTATGAGACAAAATGAGTATCATTAGATTCTTCATTAATTGTATTTTCATAGTATACCTATTTGATGTCATAAATCTTTTTAATTTTCTGTATAATTTTGATCAAACTTGAGGCGTTTTAACTCTTCAATAAAGTTAGAATGACTTATAATTTGGAATGGAGGGAGTATATCTTTATCTAGTATTGTACATGTATTTCTATTTAGTTAATGCTTGTATGAAGCTTAATCATTTGCATTATTGTACTGAAATGAATGCAAATACTGAAGAATACTTACCGTACAAAATCCTATTTATATAAAATAATGAAAATAATACCAACAACTACTAAATCAAGTTAGTTGAAAACTTATAAGAGCCTCAGTAGCACTTGAGGTCCTGTGTTTAACTCCTCGTGGGAGTGAATATTTCAGGATTTATCGATATTTGTGCTTTCAGTGGTAGGCGAGGTTTTCGTCGATAGCGAGGCGCATGTGGTGACTCCGTTAAATCTCGTTTCGAGGATTTGCCAGCCTAGTCTTCGAAGGTGCTCATAAGCGTAGGGTGTGCGTGCATGTGTTTATAGGGTGTGAGTATGCGTGCGTTGTGAGTGTCTGCGTTGTTATGTGTAATCTAAAAAAAGTTAATTGAGAATATTAATGTCTTCTATGAATTGGCGATCCATATTCCTATTCTAAAAACATGAAAATATATAAAAAGTGAAATAAAGAAGATAACAAACTATAGCGAAAATACTAAACCAAAATACTGACATGTCAACTACTGGATTCAAGTAAGAGCAACTACAAGAGTCATATTATATGACATTGGTATCTACGTAAAGATAGTAGTAACTACTAGAGACTTATTATTACAAAAGATACTTAAAGAAAGTACTGATAATTACTGAAGAAAAATATGGACAATTACTGGATTCAAGTAATAGCAACTAAGAAAAATATTGACTACTACTTAAAGATATTGAGACTACTGGATTCAAGTAATAGCAACTACTTAAAAGGTAGATAAGTACTGACAACTACATAAAGATACTGGTAACTACTCGAGTCATAGTAATAAAAAAAGATGCAAACAAGTGAGGTATTGTTTTACTTGATCTTTTATGTTTTTGCATAATTTTCCTGCATGAGAAAAGATCTTCGAGTACAAGTGGAACCATATCAATTTGAAAAAGAAATAAAAATATGATGTTTATTATTCATTCACTTTTGGTACAATGCTGATGGTCAAAATTGATGTTTAGTGACCATTAACAAGCTCCCCAACACTAACTCTTTGCTCTTCCACGAGTAAAGGTAAATGCAACTATGAAACAAGACTTCAACAGATATGATACTAGCCTAAAAGATATTCCAAGGCATTCCTCGTACCTCTGGATTTTCAAGTGGCTACCATATCACCTTGGGCTGTTGAAAAGCGGAACGACTTTGAGACCATGTCATCACCATCCCACCATTAAACATACATGGAATTTCTGTGACTTTTGCAATTGAAAACTTAGCTTGTACTTATCCTCCATTGTTACTCTCAAGCCACTCAATGGTGTTTGTATCCTCACCAACGCATTGATGCTTTACCTTACTTCCTACTTTTAACAGGCTTATGTGGAGCTTTAGGTAGAATAAGAATAAGAATAAGGCATACTTGTATTGCATATGTTGCTAAGTCAAACAATGGATCCACGTAGAAAAATGTCATGCACTTAGATCAAGATGTGCGTGTGTGCGGAAACATGGTGATCATCCATAGACTTAGAAAGGTTAGAAGCTAAAGACGTAATTTGATTGACTCTTCGCTTAAACGCGGATCGTCCGATAGAGTATTTTCCTGAATATTTTCTAGACCCAAGAGCAGCCAGCTCTCTACGCAGGGGCGAAACTAAGTTATTGATAGGGGGTGCAAATGCACCCCCCAAAATTTGTAAAAACAGTGGTTTTGTCTAGATTTTTATCATATATGCACCCCCAATAGCAAAAGTTTATGCACCCACGAGACAAGTGCACCACCCTCTAGTTTACTCTAGCTTCGCCACTGTCTCTACGGATCGTCCGCTGGAAACGATAGAACATTCCGTGAAGACGGCTACACACTTAGAAATCTTGAGGGCTATAGACATGTCACCATGGAGCTTCTGTCAATCACGCTGGAACATTCTGTCAAGACAGCTACAGACCTAAAACACCTAGAAGCTACAGACTTGAGCTCACAGATCATCCTCCACTCACAAAGGATTGTCCGCGACCACAACCCAGACTTTGTCAATTAAAACCTAAGTCCCTGATCTCATGGATCGTCCATGAAATCATCATAGCATCTGCAAATAATTAAATATTCACAGACCAAACTATTTAGCTTTGGATTTGGCCAATCCAAATTCACAGATCATCCGAGGAAAGGACAGATAATCCGTGAATTAAGGCCAACACTTAGAAACTTTTGCAAATGTATTGTCAGATCGTCACCAAGGACCGTTCGATGAATTGAATTGACGGAGCATCCGTCAATACTGTCGACAGAACACTAGTATTATACTATACACACATGTCATACATACTTAAGCCCTAACCAAATAATATCATCAGTGCATATCATATCATGTTATCTACTCTTGTGCATTGTACTCATCAAGCATCATATATTCATTAGGTGACAAGGGATCCGAAGGAGTTCATTTGGAGGAGACCAAAGAGGTAGAAGTCATCGACGAACCCCGGGTTGATCAATCTCAAGGCAGGCCCTACGCATCCCTCTCTTTTGCTAAATGCACAATTGACTATGGTTATGTATTGCACTGCTATGTTACTATATGACTAGACTACCTATGATTCCTATATTGAGCTTTCATACCTTGAACGATACCGCACCACTCAAATGTTGGCTGTTTACTTTCATTATTTGAATAACTCATGCTTAGTTTGCTTATATGGTAGAAGTCGAGATGAGGATGGATTCCTCATCGCTCGCGCGTTATACATCATGCTTGTCCACTAAAGCAACATAAATGGGCTATGATCTAAAACTTGACTGAAGGATGATAATGAACATGAATGGTCGATGAGGAGTCAGACCATGGTGTCAGAAGATTTAGCTCCGACAATACCTATCAGTGTATTCATGTATAGAGAATTAGATGGGTAGCACACAAGACACAAGGATTATACTGGTTCAGGCACGTGGTGCCCTACGTCCAGTTTGAGGT